ATAGGCGGGAAGTTCGAGACTGAACATCGGCAACTAGAGAGTCAAGGAGCTCATTTATGGTTTACAGGTCGACTTTTTAGCAATAAAGAATGAAACGAAGTCAATCCAAGATTCGGGACGAGTTCAGGCCTTGCCTTAGCGTAAGCCTTAAAAGTCTATTCCTTAGTTACCTTTGAGGAAGAGTAAGAGATAGGAGGCATCTTCTTGACTGGAGACTCTCCTTTTTTCATGCTAATATAGGGATGGCAAGGACAGGCCTTGAAAAGGAAGTAGCTGATATAGTAGCTTCTTCTATAGTCAGTTCTCCCGGAGCAAGAGGCGGGGAAATAGGCTGATCTTTGATTTATTCATTTTTACGTCCCCCTTAAGGGGAATGGAATCATAGGGCATTTGAGCTGTATTGGTCACGCGAAGGCAAAATGACACTTCTTTCTAACTTTCCTTATAGCTCCCGTGTAAGTCAATCTAACTACCTGCTGTAAGTCTTTATTACTTCCAAAGCTTTCTCCTTCCAGTTAGGCTGAAGGACGTCTAACTAAATCCTAATCTAATGACTTCTTTACGCCTTCGCATTCTTTAAAGCAGAGGGTAAGAAGAGAGGAAGAAAGAGCAGCAAGCTGCAAGAGCATCCTATTTAGTCCTATATTAGATCTTAGCGCAAAAGCAAGTACTTTAGAGTATATTTTGGTGCATTCCCCAGCTTCATCTGATAAGGTAGGCCTGGAAGTTGCAGTTTCATTCCCATCAGTTGGATCCCTAAGGCTTAAAGGAAGAAAGTCTGTCATTTACCCTGCTTCCGGAAGTAAGAAAGAATCTATTCCTATCGGAGATTCCGTTTTTGATTTAGAGTTAGACTACACGTCCAGAGATAAGTATTGATATCGTGTTACGAAAGCCTTAAATCAGTATTGAGATTGAGAAGATTAATCGGAGAAAACAAGTAGTATTAGAATACACGCCCTACCTTAGCTTCCTCTATCTATGAAAGCCCGCTTTAAAGTCAAGTCAGGCAGTTGAAAGCAAGCAGTCTTCTATTTATAGGTTTGAGTTAGACGCCGAGCTAGCTTCGTTTAAGTCTTTTAGCTCTACCTCTGCCTTCGATTCCTCTATGGCAACCTCAGCCATAAACTAACTATCTAGCTTCTTAGGGCTTAGCTACTTTATCCGCTAGAGGAAGATAAGCTGCCTTGGCCAAAACCCTTCGAATCTCTTACCCAAAACCCTTTTTACGGGCTAGCAGGTAAAGAAAGGATACAGCAGGTAGTATTATGAATTACTTAGCCTACTGGTTTCTACTGGCTAGCAGGTACAGGCCATACAGCTGGTAGTATGATTTCTAAGTTACACGGGATCTAGTATTGAAGGAAAGCTAGAAAGCTAATTGATATTGAGTTACAGGGGATTCCCCCATATTCTATTCAAATTCCCTCCCATTCTATTACTACACCCAGGGAATCTCTTTCAACACCAATTGATTCTCATCCATATTCCGTTGAATCACTTCATAGTCCCTTTTAATCTATTACAAGACCTAGGATTCAATGCCACTAGGATAGCATCAACTCTTCCTAGCCTTCCCTGAACTACTCTATCGGAAAGCAGCAAAAGCAGAGAAAGAGCTTGAGGTGAAAAGAGAGATCGGAGATTTATCGATCTATTGAGTTACGTTGAGACAATACCGACCTTCTTCATCTTCTTTGATCTTTCCCGGCGGGGGGATTCTATTCCAATGCCCAAATCCCCTCCTTACTTCAGCGGATCTAGTAGGAAAGGCTGTAACTAAGGATTGCCAATCAGCTTATTTAGGATTTCGTTCCGAGAAGCAGGTAAACGAAAAATGACCTTGTCTTGCAAAGGAGCTTGGGGCCTTACAGGCTGACCTTCATCTTTCTATTTTCTTGCGTGAAAGCCATGACTTAGATTGAGATCTTTTAGGCAAGGAATAAGAGCTCGAAGGGCTAACTAAAGAAGTAGCAGTTAAAGAATTCCCATCAGTTGGATCCGGAAGTAAGAAAGTCTAGTAAGGCAGGAGCATTACGAAATCATAAGCTGCAAAGAAGTCATAGTCAACCGGGGAGCTCTAATGAATTGATTTAGCTCTTAAAGAATTCCTTTTTGAAGAAGGGCAGAAAGTAAAGTTAGAATCATTTTCTTTTGTTCTTACCAAGCCGCCTAAAAGGAAGTATAGCAAAGGCAGAAAGGCAGTCCGGAATACTGAGTTCTATTTAGTGTTACTACGGGGCCGTCCTTAGATCAGGATGAGCACAACGACCTGAGATTGAGTTTAAAACCTACCTTTTTTCTTTCTATTTGTGTGAAGAAATCCCGTCCTTGAGAATCCTCGATCTTGAGATTGTTGTGCATTATTCCAGTCCAGAAGTTCATTCCTCTAAATCTCTCATAAGGCAAGAGGGCCTTATGAGTTGAGAAGGCGAAGGACCTAGCAACCTCTATTTAGTTACGGAAATCAGGTAATCTGATCCTTCGGAGGACAGAGAAGAGTTTACAGCTTGAGGTGAGGAAGGTTACTATTTTGATTTTTGTGTATTAAAGTCCTTACTAGAGTCTTGAAGTAAGTTGAAGTAAGAAAGATTGAGTTGGAGGAATCCATAGGAGGCCCGCCCGTTATGCATTGCATGAAAGAACCTTTCTTTGTATGACTTCTCTTTTGCCTTAGGTCGAATGAATACGAAATAGGACATCCGCGGGTGCTGGTAAGCTTGATGAATGAAAGCTTGAAATTCAAGGTGAGTTTACTCGTTGTCAAGACAAGAAAAGGTTTTTTCGGGAACAAAAGGAACAGCTTTATCATCACTATGTAGGTTGTATCCGGGAAAGGAAGCTATGTCCACCTCATCCCCCCTCCCAAGGTACTCATAGAATAGGCTCCACCTCCGTGATACTTGGGGAGATTATGACAGATCTTTAGTGGGTCTTTCCTTTTATAAGAACCTTCCTACATACTATGCTCTACGCTTCTACTTTCGCACCTCGGGTCCCAGATCAATTTGATCGTCGATCTGTACCTTCATTCGTACATGCATATGGATCTTCAACCTCGAGATCCTCTATGAGATCTTTTTCCAGAGAAGCCCCTGCATATGTTGCCCTTATCTATTCATGGTGTTCCGGATCCAGATATGGAACTGGAATGGGCTATGCCTTCACCTATGCTATTGGTTTGAAAACCAAAGAAAGCATCTTTGGTCTGTAAATGGATTAGGAATAGGCTCTTTGTCTTTCATCTGCTAGGTTGAGGGACATAGTGGATAGAAGACTTGAGTAGCTAAATTGAATGAGGGGCCTAGCTTGCTTTCTTTCGAGTCTCAAGCTTTCAAGTAGCTTTGACTAACACGAATCTTTATAACCAAAAAAGTATACATACCCTAGGATGGAGTAGTAAGCTCTCCAAATCTTATCCGGTTTGGAGGTTGTTCCGCGTTTGCACAGTTCAAGGCTTCCTCCCTGTATACAACCGCATCGAAGCACAGCTTTCCAAGCTTGGGATGGAATAGGATGATCATCCGGTCATGCGATCTCCGATCCAAGCGCTTTAGTAGATTGCTGGACCAAGGTTCCGAGCGTAGAATCGAATCTGCTCTAGTATTTGCTAACAGATCAGTAGGCTCTGACAGCCTCCTCTCTTCTACTAAGGCATGAAAAAGGGAAACTCTAAAGTAAAGAAGGAATCCGCCTCCGATCTGGCTTTCAAACTGGAAATTTCATAAAAAAAGAAAGGTTTTGATTCGTCTTTGCTTGAGTAAAGAAAGTATTATATGAAGCTGGATAAAACAGTCTGATGAGAAAGCGTCTGTTCACGTCAAGCAATGGTTTAGTTTTGTTAATCTAATTGAAGTCAAGATTAAGTGAGTGTTTCATGTACTTTAGTAATAGTATGAAAGATATAGTGAGCGTGCTGTCTTACCTCGTTTACTCAATGCATTGTATTTTTGAAAAGCGCTAGAAATCGTTCAACATTTTTCCAGTGCGGGTTTGACCTTTTCTTTATTTGGTATATTCTTTCTCATGTCGTACAGCCGCAGCAAAGTCGTAAATAAGAAAATGTTTTCTAGCTATTTGTGGATGGGTTCGGAAGACTTGAGCAGTAGGTTTCGACTCGGTCAGCTGTCTTGATGAAGATTGACTGACGACAAGAAATGACGTAAGTGAGAGAATCGTTCAGTGATATTCAAAGTTTCCATTTTCGATTGAGAAAGCGGCAGGCCCAATGAGTTCTCCTATAGTGCCTCGAAATGAGGCCGGAGAGTCGGTAACCTGAGATCGCCTAAGATCGAATGGAACTGGATTGGATTGAGACGGAAAAGAGAGATATAGAAAGTGTTCCGTGATTTCATTGTTTTCAGTCTTCACCTTAACTCGATCGCCTTTCGACTCCCATGTCTTTCTTGGTTGGACCAACCCAACCGGTAATTTCCGGAAGTCTTTCCTCTTTCTTGTTGTGGGGGGGAGAGCATATGATACTCAAAATTAGATGCAAAATTAGATGAAAAAGATGAATAAATTTATTATGGATTGTTTCGACAAGGTCCGCGAATGCTGTGGTTATAAGCGTAAGAATAAAAACCCCACGAATGAGACAGCAAAAGTAAGGCCGGAGGGGGCGGTAGAAAAAGGTAATAATGTAGATGTAGAAAAAGGTAATGTGAAGAAGGATAATGAGAAGAAGGATAATGAGAAGAAGGATAATGAGAAGAAGGATAATGATAATGGGCGAAATGGAGGGGAAGGGGGATCCGGCATTCCCAATTTAGGGGGAAGGCAGTCCACTCCCTACCCTAACAGGGCAAACAAAAGGTCCTCCACTTTCGCTAACTTCCCTGCCCTTGCTTATGTAGTAGCGGTCGTATTCATCTCATTGATTGTTATTGTTCTAAAGGAAATTGTTCTAAAGGAAATTGTTCTAAAAATATTGTTCACGAATTCTTCTTGTGATGCAGCGGAACCATGGCAATTAGGGTTTCAAGACGCAGCAACACCTATGATGCAAGGAATAATAGACTTACATCACGATATCTTTTTCTTCCTCATTCTGATTTTGGTTTTCGTATCACGGATCTTGGTTCGCGCTTTATGGCATTTCCACTATCAAAAAAATCCAATCCCGCAAAGGATTGTTCATGGAACTACTATCGAGATTCTTCGGACCATATTTCCTAGTATCATACCGATGTTCATTGCTATACCATCATTTGCTCTGTTATACTCAATGGACGAGGTAGTAGTAGATCCAGCCATTACTATCAAAGCTATTGGACATCAATGGTATCGGACTTATGAGTATTCAGACTATAACAGTTCCGATGAACAGTCACTAACTTTTGACAGTTATACGATTCCAGAAGATGATCTAGAATTGGGTCAATCACGTTTATTAGAAGTGGACAATAGAGTGGTTGTACCAGCCAAAACTCATCTACGTATTATTGTAACACCTGCTGATGTACCTCATAGTTGGGCTGTACCTTCCTTAGGTGTCAAATGTGATGCTGTACCTGGTCGTTTAAATCAGATCTCTATTTCGGTACAACGAGAAGGGGTTTACTATGGTCAGTGCAGTGAGATTTGTGGAACTAATCATGCCTTTATGCCTATTGTCGTAGAAGCTGTTTCTAGTAAAGATTATGGTTCTTGGGTATCCAATCATATAATCCCGCAATCGGGGTTTTTTGCAAAAACTTTGGAGCGTTTGGTCCTGGGGACCATTGCCCATTGTGATGCAGCAGGAACAGGAAGCTTCGACTTCCCTTCCCCGCCACCTGCTGCTGAACCACCTGAGGCTCCGATACAAGGACCACAGGTGCCCCAACAACCACCCGCGCCTGTTATTCCCCAATTGGAGCAACCGCTCCTCTCGGATGAAGCACGAGCCGACGTGCTTTATTCCCGATATGGGCTCCTCAATTTTGGTGGGGATGATGGGTTCAGACGTATGAGCTCGATCATCTCTAACCAAGGATTCATCGAGCGCTCTATAGAAGCAGCATTGGTGGATGACGGATTTCACCCGTTATCGATTCTTCATCGATACGCTGAAATTCGAGGAATTCTCCATTCTCCGCGAGGTCAGCTTCTATCTGAGCCCACCTATCGCACCTATGTTTCTCAAATACGAGAACAAGGCACGAGGGAAAGCGTTCCGTATCGGCGGGTCATCCAAGCCGTACGCGGCTCTCATCTTCTTTTGGAGAGAGCAGATGGTCGGTTGTTTTGATATAGCTCTTTAGCTCGGGGTAGGGTTCTATTATTTTCCGTTTCTCTCTGGGAAAGGGAGTGATGAGAGAGGACGGACTCAGATGTACTTTTGGGATGATTCATCCTCTTTTTTAGGAACTGAGTTGTAAAATGGCCGGATGAACTACATGCAAGGTCTGATACCATTCATCTCATTTCTTCTTGTTTACTTTGAGTGATTGGTTATGTAGGCGCTCGAAACTGCTTCTCACTAGACAAGATGGTAGAGCAATGAGGGTTCGACCTATTTCCGGCAAAAAAGAAAGTTGCAGACCTGCTTACATTATATATGTAATTTGTAGAGTGAAGTGACTGTAGGGGGAAGACACAAACGATATAAGAAGAAGCGAAGGATGTTTACTTGCAGGGTGTGAATTTGCTTTAGCTCGAGTAAGTTCTTTTCTTTTATACAGCTTTCAGTCAGTCAATTAAGGCTAACCTGATCTTCCCTAGTCCTTAGAGCGAGTTCTTTCATACCTTAGACAGCTTTCAGCCCTATCTAAGTCGTTGGCAGTTGCTAGTAAGTCAGTAGCCGCCTTTAGAGCTGGGATAAGTTGGGTAAGAATGTAAGAGGTTACTGATGCTCAGATGATCGACCGATAGGGATAGGAAAGGCTTTGGCTCTTCAAGACGTAGATCTCGAGCTTTGCGAGAGCAGACCTATAGTAGCTTAGGGGGAGGAAAGTAGGCCTGCGGGAGAGGGGTGAAAGGGGCCAAAGCAGTAAGCGCTTCCATCGAACTCTGTAAAGAAAGAGCGCGAGGGCATAGGTAGAATGGAGACTCTAGTTGCTAGCCGCTTTAAGCTTGAACGGAGAAAGCAAGAAAGTCAGTCTTCTTATCGCTCGACCCTATCGGGAAATGTGCTTCAAGCATGAATTACGATCCTATCTATCAATCCTGATTATTGAACCTTAGGAGAGTGAAGTTACTGTAAGGAGAAGACTTTCTTTCTGTATAGCTCTAGATAGCGTTCTCATACGTCTTCTAATCCTCATGTGGATTCTTACCCATATTCATCATGACTTTTTTGATTTCAAAGTAAGAATCTCCCTATTCTCTTTAGGCTGCTGGGATAAGACTTTGATAGGGAAAGAAAGACTGATTACCTTTTACCTTACCCTATGGAGCCTGACTTGAAAGATTGTGGGCAATGTATTCTAAAGCCCCTCTTGACAATGGGTTAGGTCGTTTTTATATTTCTAACTATGAGTGACTACGTGCCTAGAGCAAGGCTCGTGGAACTACGTACCTCTTTCTATCCATAGAATCTCTTCCTTATTCTATCCCTAAAAGCTATCTTTCAACATCTACCATCGTATAAGTTTTGTAGCCTATTGAAATGAAAGGGTATAGGATACGAACGAAGTCACTCAACTAGCTTGTTGAGGAACGATGTTGACTAATTGCAACTCAGTGGTACGAAGTCACTCAATTTAACCTATGATGCCCTTTACTTCTTAGCCTTGTCAGTCGCCAACATTCCAACTGTGCGAGAGGGGAGTGTAGTCACTCGAAGAGGACAGCTAATATCTCCTCTTGGATGTATGCCTTCTTTCCTATGCAGGGAAATACCTATGGTGGGACAGGGTAGTACCCTTGGACTACTTTGGATGTTGTCTGCCAACTATGCTTCTTCTTCAGTAGTCTTAGATGCGCACTACTGGTCAGTCACTAGTCTCTGATTTCTAAATGGTTGAGACTTTTGTCTTATCAACTATAGTTAGTGAAAGCAGCTACCTACTTGCTTGATGCTAGGTTTCCCGACCCTCTTTAGGCTTCTTAGGTCATACCGTTGGTGCCCGGCCTAACCTAAGCCTAAGTAGAAGGCAATGCAATATAGAGGACGGAGATTGAGTGAGATGCTTTTGTCTTATGAGAACTCCGATTGATTGAAGGATGTGGCATCCATTCATGTCACTGACATCCTGGAGTAAGATGAGTCTACCAGTCTCTTTGACCCGATCGGGTTATCCTCATATTATTCAGTTCTTGCTGAAGCGGAAGATTTGGGATAAACCTTCTTTACCTATCGATTTGTGGTTAGGTCAAGGCATGCCCTTGAATCCGTATCTCAAAGGTTTGGTGATAAACCGCCTTCGAGAAGTCTACAAACCCGTAGTGTAGACTTAAAGGCCCCTCCAAAAGAACTCAAAAAGTCAGAAATGTTTGAGTTCTTAGAAGAGGTCACTTTGTTAAGGTCGTGGACCAGCTTAACTATGGTAGATGGTATTATACAGTAGCCTTATCACCTGGTGTCACTTTCGAGGATTTTATCAAAGCACCTATCCCACTGGAAAGTGCGTCAAGAGGATCCGCATCTAGTCCGTTTTGGAATAATGTGGAAACTCTACGATGAGGTTGCTAAGAGGTCCCTGAACTACAGCCCACCTGTCTTAGATGTGGGTTCGGATAATGGGGCTTTCCTCCTTGGAGGTCTCTCTGGTACTGAGTACCTTGTGTATGCTTCTGGGCTTAACCAGCCTAGAGCAGGGAGAGGAGCGAACCAAGCTTGAAATGGGAATTGAGAGGCACGAGACAGCCCTCAAAAAAAGGCGAAATTCACTAAAGGGCCTCCCAAGAGTTCACCTATGCTAGTTAAACTAAAAGGCTCTGTCAATACAGTAAACCGATGCCTTACAGTTTCATATTATAGACTCAAAACCTTGCTTTGCATCTGATTTTTCCTGGTATTAAAATTCCCTCCTAGACTTTACTTAGGAATTATTATTCTATCTAATAGCAGACGATTCGTAACATCTGAGATGAGAAGGAAGATGGTTATGTTATTAGCTTTTAAAAAAAGTTAAATGAAGAAGCGCGTGCGAGACTTTCTTGCTCGGTGATCAAGAAATTGTTAGACACATAATTGTATTGGATAGTCATATTAACGTTATCCCAGGCAAGATAAAATTTTCACACTAGCTGTTCAAGGAATGAACTATCGAATCGACTAGCAACTTTGTCCCTTAGTTGTCCAGCTTGCCTTTCACTAGTAATTCACAATTAAGAATAAATAAAAGATTTAAATAGAATATGTCAAGATCAGCTACTCCTTTATCACTTGCTTAGCTGGAAAGCAGAGACCCACGAAGGCGCAATCCGAGCGACAAACCACTGGCGCAGATTGATGGAACGTCTTTCCTCTTAATTACCGTCTTCAAGGCCACCGAGATAGCATCTTCCAAGGCAACACTCTTATGAGACAATAAAGAACAAGTGCCCATATTAAACAAAAGAGAACAATGAGACAGATCTTCTTCCGGAAAGATCCACCCCATTTTTTGCACTAGGATTTACTTGATAGCTCATAACTATAAACCAACGCAATCTCTTTTGAAAAAGATCAAACAACTCAACTGGATATTTATGCTTTAATACTACTTATGCAAGGATACATGAAGTAAGAAAGACACCTTGATTGGTCTATTCTGGCTAAGCCTAGTTCATCCTCGTCTCTAGCTCCAACCGCTTCAAGTTTGATTTTTTCATACCATTTATGGACATAACATAAGAAGGCTAAGACAAGCAGTAGAAGGGGATGTCACGTATTGAAGTAGCAAAGAAGGAAGGATCAAATATCCCACGGACAAAGAACGACGCTGGGGAAGTAAAGGCAAATGACATAGAAGAAGACGCTTCTCTAGAGGAAGGATTAATAGTTCAGCTAGCCACGCACACGAGGAGGATTCCTCTTTTCTTTAAACAGCATTTCCGCGCTTTCGTTTTAGGAAAAAAATAGCTTTCTCCCATCTCTTCCTAACCTACCGCCCTCTTGATTGAATTGATTTGAACTGAACCTCTCCCAAAGACACTTGCGACTTAAAAAGAAGATCGCATTTTAGAGAGATTCAGGTGGAAGAAGCCTTCCACTCGAAGAGAGGGCGTCGTCAACCACAAGTAAATTGAATGCTATCTTCCTAGCTAAATTACATTCTCCTAACTGTACACACTTGATTTGTCCAATTCTTTTGTCAAGCAGGACATTATCACTGAAACTTCAACCCTCTTTTGCATTCGATGCCTCTTGCAATCCAAGGAATCAGTTCCTTTTTGCTTTTTCTGTGCTGAGTCTATAAGCAAAGAGGGGGTGCCCAGTACACTTAAGATGCGTCTCAAGGTCGCCAATGACCAGTACTGCAACTTCAAGTAAGGGGGTCTTGCCCAGATAGGCCAAGTTTTAAGAGAGTCTTAGTTCATCGAGAGAGAAGGCGACCTAGGATGAAGGGTGAGGGTCCATGGACCTTGTTACATGATTTTTTCTTTATCATTATCGTTGACACAAATCTTATCCGTGTCCACTATTGGTTTTCTCATTTTTTTTGGCCATAGCGCCCATTACGGAACAACTAACAGTAATTGCCGGACTCCTTATTATAAGCGAAGCCGTCAACGAACTGAGAGGCGAAAGCATGACAGATAAGGTGGAAGCTGAATCGGTCAAGACGAAAGAAAGTTCCCTTGTATTTTTAGTTGCGAATATCTTATTAGCGGCGGCCCTAAAGCTATCGCTAAGGGGTGTGGTTAGCTAGCTAGTGCCCTGCCTTTCTTTAGTTTCATTCAAAAGTAGCTCGGGGGTAGGAAATTCTATAAGACGGAAAATCTTGTTATTCATTTTGGCTTTTTCAAAACCTTTCTTTTTTCGGTATGCCGCTCCGCGAGCAAGGAGTGCCACGCACGAGCGGAGCGAAAACAAAGCAAGGGGAATTCGGAGAAATCCTTTGATTGCGTATTGAATATAGATCCATGTCTTTCTTGTTCCACTAGCTAGGACCAAATTCTCACATGTCCCTTTCGTTATTACAACCTTCTTTTTTTATGTCAAAGACCAGAAGCTACGCGCAAATTCTCATTGGATCTCGGTTGTTCTTAACAGCGATGGCTATTCATTTAAGTCTTCGGGTAGCACCATTAGATCTTCAACAAGGTGGAAATTCTCGTATTCTGTATGTACATGTTCCTGCGGCTCGGATGAGTATTCTTGTTTATATCGCTACGGCTATAAACACTTTTTTGTTCCTATTAACAAAACATCCCCTTTTTCTTCGCTCTTCCGGAACCGGTACAGAAATGGGTGCTTTTTTTACGTTGTTTACCTTAGTTACTGGGGGGTTTCGGGGAAGACCTATGTGGGGCACCTTTTGGGTGTGGGATGCTCGTTTAACCTCTGTATTCATCTCGTTTCTTATTTACCTGGGTGCACTGCGTTTTCAAAAGCTTCCTGTCGAACCGGCTCCTATTTCAATCCGTGCTGGACCGATCGATATACCAATAATCAAGTCTTCAGTCAACTGGTGGAATACATCGCATCAACCTGGGAGCATTAGCCGATCTGGTACATCAATACATGTTCCTATGCCCATTCCAATCTTGTCTAACTTTGCTAACTTCCCCTTCTCAACCCGTATCTTGTTTGTTCTGGAAACACGTCTTCCTATTCCATCTTTTCCCGAATCTCCTTTAAGGGATGAAATAGAAGCTCGAGAAGGAATAGCAAAACCTAGTTCACTTCCCCTGAACGCGATGTAATCAAACTTATGGTTGACGCCGTAGAGAATATAAAGCCCATATGCGAAGTGGAAAAAGTAGGAGTAGTTGGTACTATTTATGATGTCCCTGGGATTGTAGCCAGGGATCGTCAACAAACCTTAGCTATTCGTTGGATCCTTGAAGCTGCTTTCAAACGACGTATAAGCTACAGGATAAGCTTAGAGAAATGTTCATTTGCTTAGATACTGGATGCTTACCGAAAGAGGAGAATTGCACGTAAGAAAAGGGAGAATCTTCATGGACTGGCTTCCACCAATCGAAGTTTCGCGCATTTCAGATGGTGGTAAAGTGAGACCACATAAAGAGCTCTCTGATCCTCATTCAGTCAGATTCTTCAGTGATATATGGTTTTAGCCTTTTCCTTTTTGTTTTTTTCTTCATATAGAATAAATTCCTAATCCTATTCCCTTCATGAATTGAAGTTACCTTTATCCTTTGATAGATTGTCTTTAAAATAAGTAATTCTCTAGGCGAATACGATAGGTAAGATTCACTAGCTAGAAGTTTACTGAGAAGGGTAGAGTTTGCAGTAATCGATGAGAGAATGGTAATGCGAAAGAAAGAAGGCGTTTTAAAACGCCATACAAACAATATATGTCTAAATTACATTAAATAGGTAGCTCAAAGCGCCAACCCTTCCTCTTAGACACTACTACTGATCAGCATGACTTTCTTTCTTGAGTAAGGTAAGAAGGGGTACGGAAACGTCCTCTTAGCTTTAACGGGATTCATTTAAGGGAAGAAGACGAAGTCGATTCAATCCAACTCCAACCGACCGGCTGGAGAGATATTTAGTCAAGAAAGGCAGGACTAAGGAAAGGCGCAAGCCCCAGTAAGCTCCGTCTCTGTAGGGAAGGAGATCTCTTCTTGGGTTCGGATCGGACCAGCTTTCTTCGTTGATGGATCCATTTATATAAGCAATTGGATCGATATTGGCCGAGCCATTGAAAGAGCCTCTTCTTCGATAGCGTGAACAGAGCTTCTGGCTAAAGAAGGAAAGGAAAGCCAAAGCTGACATTACAGCTTGTCGCTCTTCGAGCGGAGGGCTGGATCTAACTTCCTAGTCTCGATTGTAGTAAGGGTTAAGCTAAAAGGGGCTTTCAAGGCTCTCGTCCCATCTACCTCGGTACTCCAACTGGGTCCTCAAATGCCTGGTTCTGGACCGCATCCTTTTCGTATGAACTGCCAAAACAACGCTCAGGATGACAGACACACTTCGGACGGAGATGCTTTTGGTACGAGATCTATTGGTTCAGAAAAAGAGCTACTAAAAGGTAAACGTTTTCCCTGATCCCAGATCAAGAACAAAGTCCTAAACAAAGTCTTTCTCCTCACCGACAAAGCAGAGTGCTAATCCCGATCAAAACAAGTCTGACCTCGAATATGCGTAAAGCAAAACAAAGATCTCTCTTTTAGGACGACTACTAACTAGTAGCTAGCCTACCCCAAGAGTTCTGTTGAAGTTAGGGTGCTGTGCTCTTTATATTTTGAAGAGAAAGTGCTTTTATCTCTCCTCTCATACATACATTCTTCGATCCGGTTCACCACCGGGCCACAAGCTGGTCAACGCCTGGCAGAGTATCAAGAGAGATCCCCAGTAGTGCGACTTAGGTTATGGAAAAGGCAAGGTTTAGAAGCCTCCATTCCCGACGGGGAGACTCAAGGGAGACTAGTTCAGTGAATTCCCTGTTAGAAGGAATTATTGAATCAGAAGCATCGAATGCAAGCTGTGAGGAATAAGAATTATCTTAGCAGACAAGAATGAAATTAGTCCCACACTTACTTCCCGCAGGAATAGAAGAGGACAAGGCCTATAGCCTATCTATATAAGAGAAAATGGCAAGACATTGGAAGATTGACATGAGAAGCCGAAGCGGAAAGCCCACATACATGTACCAGGGTTTGGCAAAGCTAGTGCCTTAAGCAGGAAGGAAGTTGAATTTGGTGTGCTGAACAAGTCAATGACTACTTCCTTTTTCCTTTCGCCGGTTTTTTAGGAAGTGTTCCGGGAGTGAGAATTCTGAAGCTGCCTTCCGTCTTTCTTCTATTCTACTTCTTGTTTTCATTCTCGTTCTAATTCTAAGCTGGTTTCCAAGCGATACCAAGCCAAGCAATCGACTCTCTTCCTCTGCTCTGGTTCTCCCGCTGGTATTCTAAAGCGGGCATAAGACCATATGTTGAGGTAGAGCCAACCAAGTCAAGAGTAGCATAACATATCTCCTATCTCCTAGCTACACATTTCTTTCTCAGATAGAGAGAATGAGATCAGGGGTGTAACCTTTCTGAAAGTCTTCTACCCTAGTCAGTCCTGTACCTATATTCAACCATTTCTTTGGCACATTCTTGGAATTACTATTTGAAAGAAGACTGCTTTACTATACTTTCCCCTGTCGAATTTTGAATAGGCTTTCGGGAAAGCAAAGAAGAAGTCAATCTTAAAGTTCTCTTAAGAAGGTGATTGAGGCAGTACGGTAAGAACCTCTCCTTTAGAGCTACCTGAGACTTTGAAAGAGGGTGAAACTTCTTCCGTTCATGACCTATACCCAAGAGTCATTCACTCCTTAAAGAGATCAGTCGCAGAGTTATTGATGATAATAGAGCTTTTACTTTTGATGCCCTTAGCCCCTTCCTTCCGGCTGATATGCTCTTCGTTACACTCAGCCTTCTAAACCCAGAGTCTATCAACTCTACTTCTCCAACTCACTCTTCGTCTGTCGACTCTTCTTGGAGAGTCTGTAAACTCTACATCGCTAACGCTCAACCTTTCTCATGGGACACTGCAATATAATATCATTCATCTCACCTGCGATAAGAAAAAGGTAAAGAAAGACCATTGGCAACGTCCTCGATAGCATCCCATAACCTGTGAGGAGCGATTCCAGCTTCCTCAGTCTTGTCCGTCTTTCATTTCTGTGTAAGAGCCCAAAAGGGAATCAATCGTTAGCATTCCAATCCGTAATGAATCTCTTTGTCTTCTATTCTCTTTCTCGTTTTCGAAGTTGTAGAGCGAGTTTATTTTCATTTAAGGGAATGGTCCTTCGCACCCTAAGTGAGAATCTCCTTCCACCTTTGATTCTAATCTTAGAATTCTAAGGCCAAGAACCTTATTCTATAGCATTTTATGCCGTATGCTAACATGCAAAGAGCGGTTACTCCTTCTTGTCATGTACAGCGGATACTGTAACAGCGGTTATTCCGTTCTCAGCTGATTCAACAAAGTGGATTCTCTAACAACCGATTCCATAAGAGCAGATTCGTGCAAAAGAGCTAACATCCTTGTGAACAGACCGGCTTGGGACAGGCTTGCTTGCTTTCAAGAGTTTGACCGGTCAAGGTTTTGATTCCTACTTTCTTGCCGAGAGCAGGGACAGAAAGAGTCATTACACCACCCGTCCTACTGCACTGGGGAGAAAAAGAACCTATAGCTTACAGAGCTAGTCACAAAGGCTTAACCACCAACAGATGCCTAACTTTTGTCGACGGGTAGCTACTCGCTTTAGTAATCGTATGAGTCCTGGCCTAATCCTTTAGGGCTATCAGTCAAAGTAGGAAAGAAAAAAGTCTGAAAAGTAGTCCATTACGTATGTATGGTAGTTTTTTCCGTATGCCCGCCTAAGCGAGAGTATGGGTTTCCGGCTAGTCTTGGAAGTCTTGTAATGAAATGGATTCTTTCGGTTGTAGCGTGGGTTTCCGTTGGGTGAACCCTTCTCGATCGTCTTATTGGTATTGTGGTAAGCGCTTTCTTGCCTGGCGCATTTCCTTCCTTTAAGTGATTGTACCACCCTTTGATCTCTTTCCCGCATTCGTTCATTTCTTTCGTAGAGGGAAAAGCAAACGCATATCCATTCGTTGATGCAACTAGTCGTTGACTTTTTTTTTTCTTCCCGCCCGGTTACGAAAACAGCGCTTATCCCAGACCGGTTGAAAAGAGTAAGAGTTGCTCACTCTTCCATCTGAAGTAGCCGTAGATGCAGCAATTCCCCTTATGAAGATCTTTGGGCATCTCTCTCCTGGTGAGCCTTAGTTTAGTACGGATGATAGGATGTCGGGAATAGCCTTCAAAGAGCGTATTCTTCCTCTCGGGGAAGTCTTGGCTGATTCAACTCAAGCAAGAACAGCATCTATTCCTTCAACAGCTGTTAGGGGCCTTTTTCCTCCGTTTAACGACGTCATATAGGTAATCAGCCACATGAGTACCTGAAGACGTCTTAAAGGGAACTGTAGGCCATTTTAATGCGTATTCAGAACCTCATGTTAACGATTCCCTATCTGGTTTGTTAAACGGTGGTTAACCAGTAAGAACATTTATAAGGGTTCCAGGATTCAAGGTTCCTTACCTTAACCGGAAGAGTAAGAGAAGGGGACTCCCCAGAAGGAGAGTGGAAGCCCAAGAGAGAAGAAGTCGTTCCAATCCCTGACTTCCATTCCTGACTTATCCCAGCTCGGGAGGACAGGGGAAGACTCATAAAAAAGTAAAGTATGACAAAACGATTAGCTGCGAACAAGAAGAAGCTCTTCAAGGAGTTCTCACTTCTGGCCACACCAACCCTTTCAACTCCGAGATGGATTTCTCAATCAACATCGATAAATAAGGGCCTCCCACCCCTTGAGGTAATCCTACGGATTACAGACTTATCCAACAGACGAGAATGCTGGTCCTGAATCCGGTTCAGGATCGGGGGAAACCACTGACTTTGCTACTACTTCCACTGGGTGGTCAATCAAATCAATTGGTGAAACTGCTGCTTTATTTTCCGCACTGAAACCGAAATTGCTGCTACTTTGATTCATATGCATGCTGGTGGTGAGTCAAATGCGATTTCATAGACGGAGAGAACCAACCTACCAGGTTAGTTGCTCGGATGACTAACTCATACCCGCGTTACCTAAACGTCAGTAGCATGTTGGCGTGGAGCTGGCGATCCACGGCAAAAAGGCTTGGGGGCTCTATGAATTTCATTTCCCGGCCCGCACTGACTAATCGCTAAGAGCTCATCCCGAGTTCTCTCGGGACGGGATAACTCGAAGTACGGCATGAAGTAAGAAGTAAGCCAAGTTCAGTTAGCCGTTACGTTAGGGTGACTCGAGAAAGCTTGAAAGGGAATTCCGAGAGCCCTTAAGCTTGAAGCTATCCGGCTTCAAGCCGTGAAGGAGGAATCCGAGTTGTAAGTAAAATAAGGAAGATCGTTCATCAGCGCTTTCAGTAACTAAACGAAGAGTAAGCCAGGTGCGTAATCAAGCTCATCTCCTCCTGTCTTCCCTTGAAAGGGAGTTTCGTTTCAGTTCTCCTTTAAGGTTCTCTTCGGTAATTAAACTAGTTAGCAGGG